CCATGCGGCACGTGCCGATCGAGAGCAAGTTTTGCCCACCCAGTTGAGAGCCCCTTATCTCCATAGGGCTCACGAAAAGCTGTGGTATTTCCACGTCCTCTCGTCCTCGCCGCCTTCACGTTTCCTGCGCCAGTCCCGCCTCCTCCCACTCGGGCTTCTCTCTCGGATGATACTCTCACGCGCCTTGCTCGGAATCGCTAGATTTCGCGTGTGCTACGTTCTGCGCGCAGCTACTGATCGCGAGCGCACGCTTCGTCGGGCCGCCCCTTGGACCGCCTTTCCTGGCTTGGGAATTGTATCTTTCGACTGAACACAGTTGGTTGCAGCTTTCTCGTTCCAGCCTGTCGCTGTCGTTTATGTATGCATTGGCGTACCCTTCTCCCGCTCTGTATTGTTGCGGGGTAGCTGAACTGGACTTGCCATACAATGTCTTGATGCCCTGTGCAGTGAGATGTGCGGGCTGGGTCGTGTCGGGAGTGATTGTGAATGCGTCCTCGTGATGGATGCCGTCTGGCTTTGCTCATGCGTGGGTACGGCTTGAGCAGCCACACGCTCCAGGTTGCAGTTCCGACTTTCGCTGCAGCTGCGTCTTGTGATGGACTGGCTCCCCCCCAGGACCTGCTTGTGCGCGATGTGCATCGACGCGCCGTCTCAAGCTGTAAGCTCGCTTGTGCATGTGTGCTGTCGCAGCCTGTCTAGCGCTGCAGCCAGCGCTTCCCCTGCCAAGAGTGGCTCCGTGCCCTGTCTTCTCCTGCCTCGACAGTGCCGCAGCCACGGAGTGGTGCACCGGCGCCAGGAACTGCGTGCTGCTCCTGCTGCTCCCCCCCTCTTCTGCCTGAAAGACCGCCCCGCTCCTCTGGTCCAGTGTCGCGTCGCGCGACGTACTGTCGCAATGTGCTGGTTGGCCCCCGCCTGGAGGGCGTCTCCCCTGGGCGCCCGAGTGTGAACATCTTTTATGCGGCCACCGCTGCGCGGATTGCGATTCGCATTCGAGCGGTAGGCTATTCACCGAGTCAGCCCTGCAGGCCAAATCCCCTTCCCTTTCCTGCCTCCTCCCTCGCTTCTCCTTCCTGCAACCAAGCGCCGTCTTCACAACCGGTCCCAGTGGTGCTACACCGGCGAGGTCTCCCTTGCTCACCTTCCAGCCGAGCCTGCCCCGTCGCCTCTTGGCCGCTTCAGGCCCGCTGCTATGCAAGCGCCCGCGCAAGCCCAAGCCTGCAGTAACACAAATCTTCCTCTGCCTCCTCTGCCTCCTCTGCCTCCTCTGCCTCCTCTGCCTCATCATCATCATCATCATCATCATCATCATCATCATCATCATCATCATCATCATCATCATCATCATCATCATCATCATCATCATCATGATCATCATGATGATGATGATCATCATCATCACCACCATCATCATTATCATCATCATCAGCATCATCATCATCGTCGTCGTCATCATCATCATCACCATCAGCATCAGCATCATCATCATTATCATCATTCTTCTTATCATCATCCTCCTCCTCCTCCTCCTCCTCCTCATCATCATCATCATCATCATCATCATCATCATCATCATCATCATCATCATCATCCCCATCATCATTATCATCCCCATCATCGTCGTCGTCGTCGTTTATCATCATCATCATGATCATCATCCTGTCCTCCTCTTCCTCTATTCCTCCTCCTCCTCGCACGTCTATCCTCGCTCCCCCTCCTCCCCCCTAGACATCTCCACCCCTTCCACGGAGCCTGCATCTCATCCCGAAGTGTTCCTGCCGACAGGGTTATGCAGACGGGCTCCTCGACCCTTCTCCTCACGCTATCCTCCTCCATCTCCTCCTCCTCGATCCTCCTCGATCCTCCTTCTCGATCCTCCTCCTCGGTCCTCGGTTCTCCTCCTCCTCCTCCTCGATCCTCCTCCTCGATTCTCCTCTTCCTCCTCCTCCTCCTCCTCCTCCTCCTCCTCCTCCTCCCTCCTCTTCCCTCTGCCCCCAGCTCGGGGTACGTCAGCTGACCACCTCTCCGATACTGGCCCGGCCGACCGTGGGCCCAGGCTGCGCGGCAGGTGTCGGTGAGGTGGTCAGCCGACGCCCACCGGCTCGTCGTCGCTGGACTCGGGAGCGACAGCAGGACGTACGCGTACATGAATCCACGTTGGCTTCGAACCTGCGCACTGCGCGCACGTCCGTATCACGAGGCTGGTCTCGCGGACTGGGGGGTCGCATTCATGTGCGTGGTTGGGCGCGCACGTCCTTCGTGGGCTCCCGATGCAAGAGGTCCGCAGTCAGGAGGGAAAACACAGACGCCGACTGGACGTGGAGGGGAAGACGGACGTCCAGAAACTATGGACGGGAAATCTTGGGATTCCTATCTGTTTGTTTGTGTGTCCCTGGCCCCCTTCAGACTCCTCCGCCCTTCGCCGCGAATGGCGGGCGGCGGTGCGGCCCGCGAGCTGCTCTCGCCTGGCAGCTGCGGCAGCGCGCTGCCACTGGGCGTCCAGGCGCCGCTTCTCGGCCGCTCGTCGTCATCGTTGATCGATCGAGGATTGATAGACGACACTCCGTCGCCGCCGCCGCCGCCGCCGCCTCCTCCTCCTCCTCCTCCGACGACGACGAAACGAGGACGACGACGGCGGCGCCACCAACACCGATGGCGACGCAGAGGCCCCAGAGGCTGACGCCGACGACGACGACCCAAAATGCCCCGGGGCCAATCCCAGGGTGCCTTCTGAGGGGCGTCGTCGCCAGATTGCTGAGCGACGCCGGGCTGGAACGACGAACCCCTCTAGAGCCAAAGCAAATACGCAGACGACGACGCCAACGCAAGCGCCGAGGATGAAGGCGACGAAGCCGACGAAGCCGATGCCGCCGACGTCGGAAGTGGCGACGACGACGACGGTCTCTGTCGTCTTCGGCGTCCGCGTCGGAGTCGGCGTCGTTGTGTTGGTGTCTTTGGATCCAGGATGATCGAGGTTGTGAGGCGACTTTCGATTTTTTGGCCTCGAAGGCGGAGGACGACGTCTGCCGTCGTTGTCGTCGTTGTTGTCGGCGTTGTCGTCGTCGTCGTTCGTGGTCGCAGTCGTTTTCGCCGGCGTCTGCGTCAGCGTTCGTCGTCGTCGTGGTCATCGGCGGCGGCAGCGTCGTCGTCGGCGTCAGCGTCGGCGTCGGCGTCTGTGTCTGCGTCTGTGTCGTCGTCGTCGTCGTCGGCGTTGGCGTTGACGCCGGCGTGGGCGTCTGTATCTGCGTCGTCGTCCTCGTCGTCGTCGTCGTCGTCGTCGTCGTCGTCGTCGTCGTCGGTCGAGGGTCGTGGATCGAGCGTCCATGCTCGGGGACTCGGGGATCGAGGTTCTGGGGCGCTTCCAGGCCCTTTTTTGGGACCCTCTGCGCGGCCGCTCTGTGGGGCCCCTGGTGACCGCGCTCTCGAGCGAAGACCGCGCCCGTCTGGCGGCGCTCCTATCAGAATCTCGAGTCGAATCGAGCCCTGGCCACGACGGGCCGCGCAGAGGGGCCCGAACAAGGTCCAGAAGCGTCCCACCACCTTGATACCCGCGTCCTCGAGCAGTGACACTCGATCAACAGCCCTCGAGGCGAGCACGCTGTCTCGTGCACAGCTCCCGGAGGACCTTCCTTGGGTTCGCGCCTCGGAGCGACTCAGAGCCCCCCCCTCACTCGAAGCAAGAGAAGATAATGTATTCGTGCGCTTGCGTGGCAGTCGTATAGAGCACTCATGAGGAGGATGGGGGGCGTTGCTCTGTTTATTCGTTTTCCTTGAGGAGCGCGAGGGCGCCCTGAGAGGAGGCAGGGCCTCCTCCACTCCTCCACTCGTCGAGGCTCCGTCTTCCTGTCCGCAGCCCCCCTCGGCTCGAGCAGCCTTGGCTGAAGCCACTCTGACCGAGGCCACATCGGGGCAAGACCGAGTCGTTTCGGCCCGCCAGCCCGAGCAGTCATGCCGACGGGAACTATCAAGAAGTTCTTCGAGGACAAGGGGTTCGGCTTCATCACGCCTGACGGTGGTGGTGAGGACGTGTTCGTGCACCGGAAGGTGAACGGTCAAGATCGCACCGCGTATCTCGAGGAGGGCGACGCCGTCACGTACGAGGTTGAGTGGGACGACCGCAAGGGCAAGTACTCGGCAGCATCCTGCTCCGGTCCCTGGAAGACAGGCGGTGGCGATGGCGGCGGCGGAGGTGGCGGCTGGGGTGGCGGCGGCGGAGGTGGCGGCTGGGGTGGTGGCGGCGGCAAGGGTGGCGGAAAGGGTGGCGGCGGCTGGGGCGGCGGCGGCGGTGGGTGGTAGACGCCGCGCAGCTGGGTGGGCCCACCTTGCCCGATAGTCTCTGCTCGCTCGCGGGGGGGCGTTGGCTGCTCCCAAATGGTCTCATGTCTTGCTGCTTGATTGTCCTGGGGCTGGGCGCGCCGAGCGCGTTCGGCGTGGCCAATTTTGAGCGTCGGCACCGAGCGAGGAGATGGCAGTCGCCACTCGCGAGTCGTGAGGCTTGCCCTGCTGGCGGCAGGCGACCAGCATTCGTGCTGTCGACTTCGGTGCCCAGCGCCTGGGGAAAAAGGGGTCGGGGCCCGTCCCCAGGGTGGTCGAGACATGTTGCGGTTCCTGTCGTGTTGTGCTTCCTGGAGGCCTCCAACGTGGTGGCGCCCGTGGGAGGTCTCCTGGTTCGGGCCCGCCTGGGCGGATCTCGTGTGCGTCTTAGAGCCATCTTGGCGCGGGGCTCTCTTGGGGCAAGCTTTTTGCCTGTCTCGAGGGCTTCTTGAGATTCCTCCGGCTGGGCCTCGTGAGAGTTTGCCAGAAACACTGCTCGACTGCAAAGCATGGGTAGCGAAGGCCACAGACACCTCACGATGTTCAGTGTTTTTTGGCCAGGACCCATCTGTAGAGCTCCTTGGAAGCCTCTGGAGGGCTACTTGAGGCCTTCGCTGCAGAGGGCGCCCCGGAAGACTTCCGAGGGCAGTCTGTGCTCCAGGTGTGAAGAGGACATGGCGTCGTCCATTCTGCTTGCGTCACGAGGGCTCTGTATCGGAGCGGCGGTCACGGCCAACACCGGGTCACACAGCCCCAGTGGGTCACGGGGCAAGCACAGGTCACTTCAGCCCGGGTGGGCTCCCGAGGGCTCCCCTGCTCCCCCCGAGGGCTCCCCCCGAGGCCCCCCCCCCGAGGGCTCCCGAGATGGGTCTCACAACATGCCCGCCAACACGGGTGTGTGAACGCCGTGAGTTGGCAACGCTACAAAATTTTCGCGGTAACACGAAGCGCGACAGACGTCGGGATGACCGACAGGGGGACGGAAAGAATTGGTGCAATGCCCAACAGCAGTTCCTGTTCATTTTGAACAGGGCTCGCTGTCCGCGCCGCCGCGGCTTGTGTCCATTTGAGACAGAAGACCGCCTGCCCAACAGCGGCCGCTGTTGATTTGGGACAACATTTGTTGTTGGGCATTGTATCCATTCTTTCTGTACCAATTTCGGGCGTTCAAAAGACGGGGCACAAGGGCGCCCATGATTTTGCAGGGCCGATGAGCTCACCACCTGCCTCCTGGAGGCTCCCAGTGGGGCGAGGAGGCCTTTTTTGGGAGGCCCAGCGATCCGCTCCGGGGTCCCCGGCTGAGACGGAGGTGCTCACTGAGCGCACGGGTTGTCGTTCTTCTTTGCTTGTTGGGTTGTTGGCATCGGGGGCGGCAAAGAGGGGGGTGATGACTAGGGGGGTGGGGCGGATATCATGGCGTGGGCCATGAAATCCGTAAGGGCTTCGCCCCCTGCCGCCGGCCCCCTCTCTCGGAGAATGGGCCATGGAAGAGCTAAGTCATGAGGTCTTGGCGCTGTCGTGAAGCAGTATCGAAACTTCATGCGAAGCCGGTATGGTTTACGGGCTTGGTTACCACACCTTGCGATTAAAGGGCCGCGGGAGTTCTCGCAGTTTGGGTTACCACGCCTTGCGATGGATGTGCGTGAAGGGTGGCACCGAATTTCAGAAATGCGGCAAATCCCATGTGTTTTTGGACCCTGACCCCGCGGATCTGCGTGAGGGGTGGCACCGAATTTCAGAAATGTGGCAAATCCCATGTGTTTTTGGACCCTGACCCCGCGGATCTGCGTGAGGGGTGGCACCGAATTTCAGAAATGTGGCAAATCCCCTGTGTTTTTGGACCCTGACCCCGCGGATCTGCGTGAGGGGTGGCACCGAATTTCAGAAATGTGGCAAATCCCTTGTGTTTTTGGACCCTGACCCCGCGGATCTGCGTGAGGGGTGGCACCGAATTTCAGAAATGTGGCAAATCCCATGTGTTTTTGGACCCTGACCCCGCGGATCTGCGTGAGGGGTGGCACCGAATTTCAGAAATGTGGCAAATCCCTTGTGTTTTTGGACCCTGACCCCGCGGATCTGCGTGAGGGGTGGCACCGAATTTCAGAAATGTGGCAAATCCCTTGTGTTTTTGGACCCTGACCCCGCGGATCTGCGTGAGGGGTGGCACCGAATTTCAGAAATGTGGCAAATCCCATATGTTTTTGGACCCTGACCCCGCGGATCTGCGTGAGGGGTGGCACCGAATTTCAGAAATGTGGCAAATCCCTTGTGTTTTTGGACCCTGAACCCGCGGATCTGCGTGAGGGGTGGCACCGAATTTCAGAAATGTGGCAAATCCCATATGTTTTTGGACCCTGACCCCGCGGATCTGCGTGAGGGGTGTCGATTTCGAGCACCCCCAGCAATTCAGACAACGCGCCCAGGGGGTGCTAAAAATCTCGTTTGGGCCTCCCCCCCCTCGCGCGGTCAATCAACTAGTTACAGTAACCAGCAAGAAGTCAACTAGTTACAGTAACCAGCAAGAAGCAGAACTGTAACACTGGAAACTACAAGCTACAACTGGTACTGGAAACTGCGAACCCGTGCCTCGCAGCCTGGTGGCCCCACAAGGGGGCCGGCGGATTTCCCCAGATTTCATGGCGCCTCTTCTTGTTTCATTACGTCCCTGGCCCTCCGCTGGGCCGCGCACATGCCGTCGGTCATGATTTGCACCCCCCCTCTTGGACACCCCCCTCTTGGCCGCTCCCGATGGCAGATGGGCGCGATGATAACCTCGCTTCGCGCTTCGCGGCCTTGGGTGGAGAGCTGCCCTTCCTCAGAGAGGCCACGCGGGAGCGTAAAGATCAGGGCGCTGCGCGCTTTGCTCGGCGACTTCTGCCCTCTGTCGGCACCGCCCAAACATTTTTGTCCAGCTGCCTGCGGCAAGTCCGATCACCGTGCCAGCCCAGCATGATCGGCGGCTCTTCTTCGAGGGGGCTCCAGATGATGACGTTGATGACACTGGCGACGATGCTGATAATGATGATGATGCTAAGGAGGATGATGATAATGCTGATGCTGCTGATGACGACGATGATGATGATGTTGATGATGATACTGATGCTGAAAATGATCATGCTGATGATGTAAATGATGCTGACGACGATCGGGTTGATGATGATGATGATGCGGATGCGGATGCGGATGCGG